CCATGAGACTTTTCTCAAGTCTCTTCATACCGGATTAGCTCCACAACAAGCCTTACAACCGAGTTAATGCTAAAAGTGGCCGCCGACATCAGACCCACTTCATGTGTCTCTCCACCATGGTAAAATCCATCGTTTTTTGACCAATATCCTCCAACATATAAGAACAGATCGAAACTGCACACAAGAACAGATGGATTTATTCTATGAAAAGAAGCAAGCTAAGAAAAACAAAGATCTCGACCCATAAACAAGGAACCTTACCTCATCGCAGCCGTACTCTCTTCTTCACCCAATCCCACCACGCAAAAGAATCCAACGGGTATGAAGAATCCAACGATGCGAGTGAAACAAACCCCAATCTATCCAATCCCACGATGCGAGTGAAAGAAATCGAACCACTCTCCTATCCGAATCGATCCACTCACCAATCCCAATCGAACCACTCTCCTATCTCAATCGATTCGTATCCCTACAGACTCTAATCCCAATCCAACTCGCGATCAAGATACCATCTTTCCCCAAATCGATTTCACCCAAATTTTGTAACCCTAATTGTTTTCCCCCAAATCGATTTGAAGTTTATGAGAAAACCCTAATTTTTTCCCCTTTATCGATTTAACCCGATACACATAACATCATGTCGTTTTTTAAAGAATAAAACGACAACAACTAATTAAACCCATGCCGTTTTTGCCTCCTTAATACGGTACGTTTCACTCTCCGTCTAATGTTTCAACGTTGCCACGTCATCGATACGACTGAGGGCTATTTAGCGGGTGACTTTGGACTTCATGGGGTTGACTTGCATAAGTCGGATTTGGAGGGTTAAATTGCAATCAAAAATGACTTGGAGGGTTTTTTTGCAGAAAACCCTTAATAAAATGGAGGAAAAACTAACTACCAAAAACCATCGCACCGCTTGGCTCTGGTTTCCATATTCTTGCAAAAGAGTCTTGCCTTAGTCACTGCAGTCATAAATCAATAATATATACTTGAAGGAGAGATCAAACACAGTTCAAGATTTTTTGTTGTGATGACACCACGGTACAAAGAAGTTTTGAGGATCAACTTCTATTTTGTTTTACGATGTGCTCATCCCCAGATCCCAAGTGTGTATCGAAACGGCAGATATATCTCATATATATAGTAGTATTGCTCAAAACAGTTTGCGGTTACAAAAACACGATGACAAGAAAACACAAGACCATATGCAGTTCTGTAACTAATACAAGCTATTAAGGCGTTATGACAGCAGCATTGTGTACACCAAATAGAATTCTAATCGACAAATTCAACAACGGATAGTATCATCTGCATTCACGAAAAACCAGAGTAGCAGAACCATCATTCAGCTTTTGCTGGGAATTTATTGCCACCAGTAGCGATCTTGTACACGTAAAAACAGGTCATGAGAGCACTGCAATACAGATATGGTTCTAGGATTAAGTCAATGGTGTAAAAACTTAAAAATACCAAATCTTGATGCAAACAAAGATACTAAACAGCCAGTGTTGAAGGATTTTTACCTGATCCCAGCAACCAAACCAGCCGGCATAATCTTTCCAGTCAGCAAGTAACGCTGTCCCATGACTAATGTGAGAGCAGCTGCGATGACTGTATCAAAAAAAAAAAGAAACATTCAGATGAGTTTCAGTCACCAGAGATAATGAAAATCGATTTTGCAAGCTTGTTTTATCTTTGAGGTTGGTTCTATTGTCAATCAATGGCAAGAACACTAATTAAAAACAGGAATCTTCTACTTAACTACAACATCTAACAATTCAAATTGAATGTTCATTTACAGTAAAACAGCATCTTGTCCAAGAGAGACACTATTACATTAGTGGAAAAATTAGCAAACCAATTCAAAAACTGCTACAATTGAAGATCCAAACACAACAAAAATGTTAATTTTTTTTATCTTTGATTAGCAAGTTTAGCATCATCACACAAATCACTTATTTAGATCCAGATCATTAGTGGTCCAATAAGATCCTTAACCTTATATAACATAACCTATCATCAACTCTGAAGCTAAGTTCATGATCCAAAACATTGAACCATAAAAAATTGAAAACAAAATCAAACAATTCCTTCCTCAAGTGATAAGTCACTAAAAGCTATTCACATCTTGTAATTGAAAGTCTTCCCTATGGACATCTAACGGAATCATACGAAAAGACATATAAACCCAGATCGCTAAAAAGGAAAGAAATTTGCAAAAAAACCTGTCTGAAGAACCATAGCAATAGAGGAATTCTTCTTCTTCTCAAAAGCTTTGAGACTGATATAACCAGCGAGAATGAGTAATAACCCAGTGCCTGCACCTCCGGCGAAAGATGTAATACTTCCTTTCTTCATGTACCCGATAAATCCTCCGCCGATGAGAAGCATCCCGTACGGGATACTGAAGCAAAAATCATGCATTTTTCTCTAGCTGGGTTTGGATTATTTTCTCTGGTGATGATGAAAGTTCAAGAGCGATCGTAATCGGATTGATCTGAAAGAGACGATGGATCGATGAATTGATATATGAAAGTGTTGTGTGGTGAGCGCGTGGAAAAGGTCCGCCTGTTTTTCGTCAACGGTCTTCAGACAACTAATCTTCCACTTACGGTCCATCATTTTTATGTCCTAATTGTAATTAATTATTATGTATCTCAACTTTATTATATTTATTTGATGAAAGAATGTTTTAGACTTAGTATTCCATTTATGAAAATGACAGTTGTTGTACCTAATGATCATAAGTAAAGAATTTTCATTTTTCAACATTGTTTTGTATGTCACATTCGTTGAACCATCTACATTGACAAATCTAAGTTATGTGACTTTTGCTTCTAGATTTTTTTGATGTAATCATATTCATTAAGTTTATAAATAGTATATCTAATTAATGGGAAAAACAAGAAAGAACAAAGTGCAAGTTTACAAAATTTTAAAGTTGGAACTATGATTTTTCTATGGAGTTGGTAGAATTCTTCTTCAATGGTGTGATTAAGAGTCCCATTGCTAACACAACAAGCTTGTAGCTTTCTATATAGACTTACTTAATGGACTATTTTACTGCAAATCTCACTTTATGGATTATATAATTAAGGTTCCAAGAGCATTTTCCTGAGTTCTTGAGGCCTTTTCTTCAAGCATCCCGAGTTCACAAGGGAGTTTAACCATACTTCATCAGACCTTGTTGGCTCGTCATCATCGTTCCTATGCCAGGTCCATAGCGCATGAGTTGAATTCACCATCTGAAGCTCACCATGTCCAAAGCTTGCTTCCCTGAAGACTGACCACTCTGGCGACGGATCTTTGTATCTGAAAATGAAAAAACCATGATCCCCGTCAAGATAAATATCAACTGCTTTCCATCATATATCAAGGGCACTTAAGTGTAGATAATATGATGAGTAATGAGTTCGCTCAAGGATCTTAGACACTAATATGAAAGAGTGTTGGCATGGACACATGAGAGGATTCTTGTTCATAATTTGCTTTTGAAAAATGAAAAGTTGATAGAGAAGAAGTAATCAGTTTGAGGAATTACTTGCGAGCCAGCCCTTCTCTGTTTCCTCCATCCCCTATGGTAATGTGTACGGGACCACATGGATCTGATTTACCATTATTGACACGTTTCTGTCGAACAGCACAATAACCCAGTTTAATATCACAGGGAAACAAGAATAAAGTTTTTCTGATAGACTCATAAAAGAAGCTAACACAATTTTGAGCATACCGTGCGTTCATAAGCATGGACATGACCAGTAAATACGATATCAACACCGCTTGCATAAAGCAAAGGCTCCATTTCAGCCATCATCTCATCACCTTCATGTTGATGGGCATTGTTACTGTTATACCATGGTACATGGAAGAGGACTATTAGCCATGGAGTTCTTTCTCGGTCCACCTTTGCGAGATCAGCCTACACATATCATAGATAACACCAAAATTAATTCCAAGAAGTGTAGCAGAATCTGCTGATAGTACTGCAAGGAAAAGGGATTAATTCAACAAAGCACTAATAGCAGAACCTCGAAACTACAATGACAAAACAGTTGATCAGTAGCACCATTCTTCCTATTAACGACCCGTTTTATGAAATAAGTTGTTAACACAGTTCTATTTTACTAACTACTTAGACCTATTGTGGCAATAAAGGGAGATACACATAACAGATGGATGATAGGTAAGAATTCTCACCTTTAACCAAACGGTATTGATCTGAGTACCGATC